TATAACATCTGTGTATGATTACACAGGTAAAAAGAAACGGGTAAAGGAACTATAGTACTGTTGGATAATCTATCGCTGTATTTTCAAGTTGCTGGAAACTCAAGATTAAGCTATATCCAAACGTTTAAGTAAAGACGTATAGAGCTGAAATCCCAGTACAGACGCTAGGTAGTGTCTGCTCAGAGCACCAGTGACACTAGAGGTCAGCATGGGCGCATCTACACCAGCATTTCAGTCCGGGCCAGGAATGTGCTTTCTAAGTGCTGCCTGCTCCGCTGCAGCCCACAGCACTGGGCAGACCTCAGTCTGCAAACTGGATTCTTTCATGGAAAAATGAGCTTTTGAACAACTGCTAATGGTCGTTCTAGCCACACGCCCGGATTAGACCTAGTCTGAAATCAACTACCAGGACTCGTATGACAACTACAATACCGTGAACCCCAAGGCCACAGGATACAAAAAGGCATGGAGGAAGCTACTGAATGAAAAATCACCCCAAATACCATATTAAAGATGAGCACAGAACTCAAGGAAAGATAGACTGAGGAGACCGAGTTGAAAGATTGCAAGAATTACTAAAAGACATGCTGAGTCTGCCTTCATTTCAGTATCACTTGTAAAATCTTTGAATTCTTCAGCCACATCAGGCAGATAAAGATAACTTCTAGCTTGAAAACAAATACTTCACCTCAGTTGTGAGCAATCAGATAGTCTATACCTCTGACTTCTGAAGAACACGGAATATAAAATCACAAGTCTAATAAAAAGCATTTTTGCAGTAAATCTCTCAAGTCAGAGTAATACCCTGTGGTGGAAGAAAAGCAAATGGAAATATCTAAACTTAAGCAGGAGAAAGAAAACCATATCTTCCATTGGTGGGGCAGCTGATTTTATGGATGACAGATTCTTCTCTACTTCATTTCCCACTGGAAGTTATTAGGTAGGAATTCTTATTGTTTTAAGAAGACTAATGAATTTTAAGGGGAGAACAAATTGGTAAAATGAAAAGCCTTTCTATTTTTATAGGCAGAAAAATTAAACAAAGCTATGTCACCTAGTGTATTCTCAGTGGATGCAAACTACTGTTGCCAGAGAGCCAAGATGACCTGTGATTCTCTGCAGCACCAACAGCACTCACCTGATAAATCTTGTTGAAGGGTCAAGTAACTGAAGGTAGTGCCTCCTATCTGCACATATGTCAGGTAACTTGAATTTCATATGAATCCAGCCTCTCCTGCTCGGAACTTTCTTCAAGCTACCCAGAATATTTTAGTAAAAAACCCATAATATATTTTCACATAGGAACACTAAGAAATTTAAGACTGGAATTGGTTCATTACCGAATAACAGGAAAACTGTCAATGCAGAAATAAGAAATATATAACATTTGTATTCTGTGTTTGCACAAGGAAAAAATCAAGATGTATCAATCTGATCTGAAAGGAGTATTTTCACTATAAGAATAATTCTGGACAATGTTAAAAACTGGCTACTAAGGTGACATGTTTTAAAATGAAACATGAAGGTTTTGTGTCTAATAATTTTTTAAAAGCAGGCAAAAGAACTTAGCAGACCACTGATAATGATTTTCTTTGTTGTAGTTCTTTTTTCGTTAGATCTCAAAATGTCAAGGAAACTTCTTAAGACTGAAAGGCAGCAGGTCCTGTGCCAGTGCTATTAAAGGGCAAATAAGACAACCTGGATAATTAAAAGCCTATAGGCCTGGCAGCAAAATAATGGAATCATTCCTACAAGTCTCACGTAATGAAGGTTTAAAGAAGGGATATAGAATTAATGCCAGTCGACATGATTTTTTTTTGGAAAGCAGAACCTGCCAAGCTAGCAGGGTATCTTTGAAGAGATCACAGGAACCAGGTGCTGTTCTGTACTGCCTACTTCCAGAGAACAGTCGGGATGGCAATGAAGTTCCCTGAAAATTGAACTTGTCTTAGAAGTGAGATTATACATCAGTGTGACATGAAACACCTGCCCACCAGTTTTACTGGGCATGTAGTGTTTAATTGTGGTTTGTTTTTTCCAAGAACTATTCCTCTTTCTTTCATTCATGGCATGCAAATGACAAGCTACTATTAAACACAATTATTCAAACTTATTAGCAAAGGGAAGCTGTTTGAAGAAATGTTCCTAAATCTCATTTATAGGAAAGAACTGTTACTGTGGTGTTGGTCTGAAAAAGGCTGAGTTTGAGATTCATTTCCTACACATTAAGATGATCTACTTTCTAAATCATTATCATAAGATGTTCTTGCTGCTTTGCAAAGTCCATGATGCAAATTCTTGCAACTCGCACAAGTTTGTGATGTTTCTCAGCTGATGTTCTTTCAGTGATCCCAGTAGACCTAATTTAATTTCTAATCATTTCACCATGCTTAACACATTTTTCTAAATTACTTTTGCATTCGTACTCAGAGGGAGTACTGGCTGATTTCTGCTTATAAAGCTCTCCCCTCTCATTTCTATTGTTTCCTATGCAAAGGGAAGGAAGCTAACTGCTCAGAGCAATTCAGTGATCAGCTGCTTTCAGTCCATCCCATATTTCAATAATAATACGGCACATACTGTGGATTTCATATTTTTCACGCTCACAGCTCCAACCTCTACTGCATTACACAGAAGAGCACTGTACCTCATTTGTGCCTTCTGGGTGCAGGACATTTTTCAAGACAGCCCAGCAAAATATGTGAGTGCACAAGTTCGAAGGTATAGAAAACGTGCCCATTTTGTGCTTATTTAATTATATTTTTGTCTTTTTGAGAGTAGAAGAATGGTATATTTAAAGTCTTTAGCTATGTTGATAGTATTATTCACACTATACTATAAGCAAATAGGAAAACAATCAGAAAGACAATAGTATGCAATATGTACACGTCACAGCAAATGCTCTTGTGTTTTGCCAGACACATGGCAGAAGTTTTCAAAATTTCATGTCAAAAAACTTGTAAGATGTTTCTGTTTATATTCTTTCAACACTTCCAGCTTTGATAATTCTTTTACTATTCTTGTGACAATTTTCTTCATAATTTTCATTTTCCTTTGAATGATCAAAGACATTTTTTCTCAAAAACAATCTTGTCATATATTAAAGCAATCATGTCGTATACTGAATTTTGTCTTTAAGGACTTGTGACAAACAGGTTTGGTTACCTTCTCTTCAAAACCACTAAAGAAGATGCAAAACTCCTTTCATATTTTAGAACTTCACGTAATGCCGCTCCCCAGAATGTTCTTCAGATTTGGAGACAAATGCACAGCTCAAATGTAATGCAGAGTTGTCATGATAGGCTCAAGAAATGTGTTTGTGATGATTTACTCACATATAGATTACATATTTCTGAAGTCTTTCAATCAAGTGACCACAAGGTTCTACTGAAGGATCTTTAGAACAGTTCACTTGTGGCTCTTCACCAGCTCATGCTGCACGCTTGACTGAATTTGTCTTCCACAACGTTTCCAACAAATGAAATCATACCAGAACTGCAACTTGTTATGATCTTTTTCCATCTAGTATTTGAGAACTGCACTGCTCCTAGATTTGCCAGTTCCAACTCCAATCTTCCTCTCATTTAATACTCCTCTGTCGTTAAATTCTGATTTGTTCTTAAGCCCTCTGAAGAACTACACAGCTATTCTCTGTTCTCAGAGCCTAAATCCAGTCTCTCCAAATACTAGATCTGGTTTTACCTTCTTTTTTTCTCTCTCAAAAGGGAAAAGTATAAGCTTTCCACTCAGTGTTTAGTTAGTTAGTGTTAGTTCAGTGTCAGTGTTCACTTAGGTAGTTTGGTGTTAGTTTTTTATTTTAGTTACTGTTAGTGTCCCTACCTGCCTCATTCCATCATTTTTTTTAAGTTTTCATATTACAAAAGCTAACTTGTTGCCTCCTCTTCTGCTCATCCTTTAAACTCTAATTCATATTACAACAGCTTTCATTATAACTGTCAAAATTAAAATTCTTATCAAATACTATAAATATTTCCAAATCTTTTCTACTCTGGAACTATTATCTTGTCCAGTGCATTCTATTCCATTCTACCATGTTTATACAGTGAGTATATATATAAAAAAGTATACCTGTGCAGTTTATAATGACATACATAAAAGAATAATGTTTGTGAATGAATGATATGATGCATAAATTTTAGTGTATTGTCTGTGCAATGCCAAAAGTTCTTAATCAATGCATCAGAGATCCAAACCTCATCAATAGTTAATTTAAAACCGCATACACTCCTGGAGAACATTAATTATATTCTCAGAGCTCATTTATAATGAGCTTTTAATTAGAGAGGATGTCCTCGTATCTTAATTCTTAAAAGCAGAGAAATTATGAGGTGGTAGGTAATTCTTAAAATAACATGCTTCAATGTACATTTCTTTTTCTTTTATTATAGCAGAACTGTAAAGACTCCTTGTTTAAAGTCACTTGTGTTTTACTTATTTATGGCAATAGAAGTGTATGAGAAAGGAGGATTCTATTTCCTTTGTCATCAGTAAAGATGTATATGGGACATCCCACTAATGGATGCCTCCTCTAAAATTTAGTAAAAGGTCAACAGAGGGAACTTCACTGCTATGAACAAGAGCTAAATACATTGTATGACTACCTCAGACTGGGAGATGACCAATCAGTTTTTCATCCATTATTTGTCTAATTAGCCATTCTCCCATACTGTAAGAAAATAAAATGCAGCATAATGCTTTACAAAATGTCTGCATACAGTTCTGTGTAAAAGCTTTCACAGTACTTCACGCACAGTCCCTCATGAGAAAGGCCATTTGCTTGGACAACATCCAGTAAAATCTGATCAATAAACCCATCTTTACTTTTTAATTCAGCAGCTCAGCTTTATTTAATTCTCCAGTTTCTAGTGTTGCACAAACGCACTGCTGTACAACACATTACTGTCCAGGCTGCCTCTCTGCTTGGACAGACACATCGCATTTGTCATTGTTACGATTCAACAGGAACCTGATCTGATTACCTGGTTTGCTTTCATTTGGTTTACACTGAACTTCTTCAACACATTCTGCAGGAAACCATCCAATATGTCCCCGGGTGCTGCCTTCCCAGAATCCACCTTCACCGATGCTTAAAACTAAATAGAGAGACATAAGAAGCATTAGACATTTTTCACCTCTTACGTAAATACCAAGATTAGTTACATAACATGTTCAGTAATAACTGAGTATCATTTTGTTAAAAGCAAATGTTGTACAATAACTTAAATGCTGGTATCCAAAAATGGGCACAGGCACAGAGTAACCTATAAATGAGACCTACCCTGATCAGTCTTTGGAACATCTTCCCAAATTTATTCTTCTCACCAGTTTCCTTGGCCCTCACGTAATTCTTTCCATTTTCAGTTTTCTCGTTGCTGCTCTTACCAAGGATAAATGCATGGTCATACTAAGGACCAAAAAAATGTGTCTTGCCTGTTCAAATTAAGCTGAAGCGCTGAACCCACTGTAAAACTGAACCCACACTGAAATTGGGCTTTAATAATACATAGTTTGATCTCTTATATGTTTTCTACTTCTTAAGAAAACATGCTATTTTATTTAGTGGGAGCTCCAGAGACTTGTAATGTAGGTCAAGTAATATGATTTAATGATCTGAGTACACAGCAAACACTTGAATATCCCATAGGTGCAATACACAGCGTAGGTGCCTTTTGAAACATGTCAATGATTTTTCTTGGTAGAAGATAACAACAACAGGGAGAAGAATTATTTACCAATAGGAGAAAAGCTTTACCCTGTGGTTCTAATTATCTTGATATTAATCTTAGGACTCAACAAGGATTGTGACAAAAGACTGCAGAACAACAACGTATGTTTTTACTAGTAAGCAATTGGAGAAGTTCAGTAATGGAGGGATCCTAAATATTTCCTAAGTATTATGTTTAAATTAATTTTATAGCAGTTCTTACAAATTACTATGCTTAATATATATTAAAAGAACACAAATGTACTATTAAAAAGAGACTATACATTCATATTGGAACAAAGGTGATATTTTTAATTTTGTTAATGGTTTGCTCTTCTCAAGAGGTTGACTGGGAATGTAGCTCAGTCATACAACACAGGTCCTCAGAGTACATCTGTACAAAACACACTGTTCGGTGGAGAGGTCCCTGAGCTACCAAAAATAAGCCCATGGAAGCTGAAGCAGCACAGCTCCATCAGTGGTGTGCTAGCTAAGCCAGCCAAGCTAACTGGCCCCGCTGAAAATCAAGGTTAATTAGCCCAAGCACACATCTCTGCTAACATATGCACATGGTTTTCAGGACCTGGGACAATATCTCTGCAGGGTATTTCAATATGGTAGGGATATTAACTTGCTCACAGCTACTGTGATGATCTCCACCAGAAGCACTCTTTGCACTGCTAGACCAGACCTTATCAGGCTTTAAGATCGTAGTGTCTGACCCCGACTGCAATTGAACTCTGCATCAGCGGAACTGCTGTGGCTCAATGGCATTGAATTTGAACTTCATTTGCACTACTACAGAGTAAGATGAAAATCAAATCAATGATAGGCCAAAAAAATAAAAAAATCTTGGCAATACTAAAGAGATGGTAAGAAATCTGGTTTGATAGACCAGGATCTGTAAAACTGCATTTGAAATTAAAAGTTTACCTAGTTTTTCATTTATGCAATCATAAGTTTGTGGTATTACTTGCAGAGCATTGATACCTATAACATAGATATCTGACAGAAAAATGTATTTAAATGTGTCACTTTTAAGTCTTAATGTAGTAAATTCCAAGATACAGATTTCATGAACTGAATATTTACCCATCATTGACAATAAGAAGCACATATTAGGGCGCAGGAAACAGATCCATTAAGACAAAATCCTCCACCCAGATGGGTCCCAAATGTACAATTTATCAAGCAATTTTCTGACATAGATGAGGAAACCTACAGCTACTCAGGCAGTGATGGGATGATGGGGGAGGGCACTGACCTTGGAAGGCACTGACAACACTACAGTGACACTTAAGCTGAATAAAAAAATTTTAGCATGCCTTTTCTTTTAGTTACCTAACACCTATTGATATTGTTAACATGAGCAGGAAATATTTCATTTCTACATTTACATCCAAGCAAAAATGAAAAAAAAAAAAAAAAAGAGATCTGTGCTTTGATTGTATCAATAAATTACATAATACAAATAAAAATAATCTTGGGGCATAACTAATGAAAAATATGTTGATAAATTCCAGTTATTCTTGAAAATTATTAAAGTCTGTGACATTATCACACAAAGTCAACCTGCTAATTCAGTGTAACATGAAACAGAAGACTATTCATTCATCCAATATATATTGGATATCCATCAGTTTTAAGTATATTTTTAACAATGTAAGCTCTGTTCACGTAAGAACAGAGTACATTTCTTATATATGAGATAAGGAAGAAAATTAATAACATATATAGATATTATAATTACTGTAGGATCCTACTATACATTGATTTAATTTCAAATCATAAAAGTGAGCATAGGACTACAGCCAAAAGAAATTTCAAAATGTGAGAGCGTGAAAGATTCCTACAGCAAGCAGTTGGGTTTTTCTGAGGAGAGTTTTCAGCACAGGATCTCAGTCCTGATTTCACTTCACAAACCAGCAAGATAGGGAGAACAAAAACTACTCAGAGGTTGAGAAGGACTTTCCTAATTTGTTATTGTATTGATCTGTCAGATCTGCTATTTTGACACTCTAAATTACATGGACATTTCCATCTCCAAAAAGCATCTGCACTCTTAAGAAGGAAGTTGGGTGTTTCAAACCCACAGAGTAATTTCATGTGTTTATGGTAGCAGCAGCTGATAAGACATCCAAATCAAGGTGGAAAAGAAACTTGCTTTGCAAGTCTACCTGTGGGTGTAAGGCAAAAAGTGATTACTACAGAGCAGAAGCAATCCCACTTTAGATCATTCTTACATGAATTATTAAATATTAGCAATTACTAATAGCGAGAGCCAAGCAAAAATACAAGCAGTCCTGCCTGAAGACATAACATCTATGGAAAAGAAGTAGAAGGGGAAATGAGGCCTTGCCAGAATGCAGCCCGCCTTCACAGTTCTGGTTCAAGCAAGATTGCATCTACAAACAAAATGACAGTACATTTGGACTTACTGTCAAGGAAAAACATCATTACGGGTGCCAAGAAAGGAAGAGAAAGCCTGACGGAACTGCAAGAGGCACAAAGAGAACGCAAGAGGCCAACGTGGGGAGGCAGGGTAGCCAGCTGACGTGAGGAGACAGAGACAAACTGTTGGTGAGATGGAGGATAAGCACACATGGCCTAATACTCAAAATGCAGAAATTGAGATCTAGGTGGCTCTGCACTACCAAATAACTTAACATCTTTTTCCTGTATCTCAGGTGGTGCCATTATTACGAAATCTGCAGCAGGTGCCAAAGCCATAATAATCTACGTATCTATAAAAACTGGCAACACTTCATGTATTCCAATGTGGGTAACTGACAGCTTGACAGATAAATCAAAAAATATAATTTAACTTTTGTATTTATGAATGCTTTTTTAGAATGAGGCCTTCATTTCTGCCTTTTCCCTCTCACAATAGTGCTTGAGAGACACGCTGTAATAGATAATTTGGTACCAGCAAGAGATCTTCCAATCAACATTTGCCCTTCTGGAGGACATAAAAATGGTAAATCAAAGGATAACTTGCCCAAAATTAAGAATTAAACTTTATCACTTCAATTGTTTTTTCCTTTTTAGTAAAAAACAAAAGATGTGGTTGCTATGGCAAGAGCAGGCCAGGGTCTCTTTACTCACAACGTGAATTACAAAAAGAATCTGACATTCTAAGAGTAAAATTAAGGTTCTAGTAACATCATGAACCCTGCTGCAATGTCTTTTCACAACAGAAGTATAGTTTAGAACAAGAATTATGTTCAATTATATGAACAAAACTGCAAATCAAAACTGGACAAATACCAAACAAAAGAATAACAGGAAAACATGTACAGGCAGGTGCCAATCAGGATCTTCTATTTTAATGTTTACAAAGTATTATACTTAATATCAGCCAGATTCTGCTTTGCTAAAGTCCAGAGAAAATACAAGAAAACTATATACAGCGCCAAATGAGCACAGGATGTTTTGTCTCTTGCAACTTCTGTAAATTTGTTGACAAAGTGTATATTGTAATTAATATTAATATAACATACTTATCTCAAAGAGCTTAATTACTGAATATATAAAGAAATCACTTTAATCAAAACAATAAAAAAGGTTTATTCTCCCACACTACAGCTCCCTTTAGCATGCCACAATCAAGAAATAGAGTATATTTTTCCATCAAATGATAGTGCATACTGTTTCTAAATTCCTTGTGGTACTGAAATTTCAGTGATTAAGTATCCTTAATTGCAAAAATGTCAATGAAATTTACAGCCAAATTCAGTCAATTGTCTATATAGCTGCTACACAATAGATCTGAAATGTCTGTAGTATCTACAGTCAATTTTTGGTGCTTGTATGAACTGCATTCTTCTTTTCCAGGAAAATAAATAATTGTATGGATTGGGAATGGCAGATCATCTTCTGGAAAAAGAACATTTCTACAACCAGGAGAAAAATTAACAGAATGCCACTAAAGTATAAAGTAAGACTGAAAATCCACTGAAAACTCTAGCAGCTGAACTAGCCTATGCTGCTCTAAGAACTATCAGAGCTAAAAATAAAAGCTCTGTCTGCTAATCAAGCGCCTCTGAAGTTATCAATACTTTTAGTGAGATGTGGAATTATGTAAGATGAAAGCTCTCTAGACCACACAGTCGAAAGCGGAAAATTTCAGCATTTCATTCTTAACCTGAAAGGGATGGTGACAGCGCCCTTTCCATCTGAACTGCAGCATGGATATGTTACTTACCTGATTCCATGGTTCTGTTATTGACAACAAATGCCACTTACCTAATGGAATACAAAGGGGTTTCATCTGAATTTTAGCAAAGGAAGGTTCAGTGCTAATCTGAACTCTGGTTTTGTGTTTTGACACAACAATCTTCTGGATTTGCTTTTTAAAAATAAACTTTTTACTTTCCAATGGGTAGAGAC